ATTTTTCCGCCCTTAAAAATTCGACGACCTCCGCCGGGTATTTGAACCCGCGTACTACGAGTCATGAGGTGGGAACGTTACCTCTAGACTACGGAGGCCGCTATTGATTTACATAAGTTCTTTATTATTTTTTTATTTATTTATATGTTTACTTATTAGTTAATTTCTTGATATGTAGATTAAATTACAAGCTTACCAACCGATAGGAGACTAATTTTTTTTTTAATTCGCTTAGTGGGGGGTGGAGTCCAACTGGGTCCACTCGGCACGGCGGCCACTGATTGGACTATTGTAGCTTGCCCCGCGTGATTATGATGGAGACTTTGTTGGAATGAAGATTGGCAGGGGAAACCGAAGTACTCAGAGAAAACCCGCCCCAGCGCTACTTTGTCCACCACAAATCCCACTTGACCAGACCCGGGATCGAACCCGGGCCGCAGCGGTGGGAAGCCAGCGACTAACCGGTTGAGCTATGGCGCGGTCGATAGGAGACTAAAAATGTCATTGTAGTTTTGGTGGTATGAATATTAGGAGCACATAGAGTATAGGACGACAGTAACTGAACAAAACTCGGAGTCTTATAAGTCAAGTGGTTTAATTAAGTAAATTCTCACTAACAGCTAAAGCACAACAGAACAGATGATGTGAAAAGAACATCAAACACAGAAACTTAGCAGAGTTTTTCATAGACGGAAATGTCTCCAGTTTGGGACAACTGAGCTCTACAATTCCCCCAAAACAAAGGATTAAACGCCAAGGTATCATAGCCAAGATGTTTTCACCAATTACTTCGAATTCTGTCCGTTGTTATTCAGCCGTTAAGAGGACTGTTGCCTTACAAGTGGTCCTTCAGGAACTACAACTGACCTCAAAACGTAATCGAGGTAACTCGATGGTCGTGGTAAACGGCGTTTAAAAAATGTTCAGAAAAGAACTCTGTGGCTTGTAGTGCACAAGCGAACTATACCGACCGAGCGATCGCCGCAGCAAGCCAGAATAGTCTTGCAGTTAGGTAACAGAGTATTGGATGCGTAGAAAAACGTCGGAGGAAGCTCAAAAAAATTAAGTACCGAAACACAATTATTTGTGGGTAGCCAATTCTGCCTGAAAACATCTTGAACTTTACGGCAGCGTAACACAACAGTAACAACTGAAAGATGTAACTGTATAGGAAATGGATTGCTTCATAAGGTTGGAGGCTCTGACTTAACTCTGCACTTCGGTTAAGCATTTTACTTACTTAAGAAATGACTGGAAATCGTCACAGATGGCCTCACAGCCTGGCCATTTGCAGACCCCGTGACCGTACAGGGGATGCATCTTGTCGTTACCACAGCCGTCCAGCAGCTTGTCGTCCTGCAGACCCGCCATTCCGTTCAAACCTTCTCTACGACCAAGCCCCATGGAACTCAGTAGTCCTGTAACAACGCAATTCGTTCTCAGTCTGCGTGGGATGGAGATCACATCGCATTTGATCCCTTCAACTGAAACGCGTAAATTGTCAAATGGATGTACTACACGGAACCGAAGACACGCCAAAAGACGCCAACGAAGTCACAGACTGGTAACGGTGTCTATATCTGGCAGCGTGAACTCACTCACTCATTCACTCACTCACTCACTCACTCACTCACTCACNGTATCTGGCAGCGTGAACTCACTCACTCACTCACTCATGGAGCTGAGCCCTCCTTGAGAAGCTGCCAATTGTGCAGCTATTCAAGAACTTTCCAGTATTTTATGGAACCCGAAGGTTCATTACCGTGTTCACAAGAGCCCTCTAGCGGTCCCTATCCTAAGCCAGATCAATCCAATCCATACCATCCCATCCTATCTCTCCAAGATCCATTTTAATATTGTCCACCCACCTACCTCTTGGTCTTCCCAGTGGTCACCTTCCTTCCGGCTTTCCCACCAATATCCTATACGCATTTTTCCTCTCCCCATTCGTGCTACATGCCCTGCCAATCCCATCCTCCTCGACTTGATAATTCTAATTATACTTGGAGAAGCGCACAAGTTATGAAGCTCCTAATTATGCAGTTTTTTTTTCTGATGGTGTGAACTCTTAATGAAAAGATTTTAAATCCGTGGTATTTTGAAAATAGGAATAATCTATAACATTTATTTGATGATATCAGTGTTACAGTTCGTGATGATGATCCTTCTCCAAGCATGCATCTGATACAGCAAGCACAGGGACTGGCGGAAGAATTGAACTCTGTCTTCAAGTCCTTACTTCAACACCAGACTGCGATGAGTCCGGTCTCAAGCTCAAGATCTTAAGCACAAAAGCGAGGCTATGACTCAAAAATGGCTGTTTGCCAATGATGACAATGATAATGTCACGGCACTTACCATTCAGACCTGTGATGCTCTTGTGGGCAGGGGGGTTAAGATGGCTATCCAGGCCTTCACTAGAAGCTTCTTTCCACGGGCTGGTTACTTCCGCTGACGGCATGCCTGAGGACAGTCAGTGCAGTCACAGTCACCAAAAGACTAAGAAATTTATCATACATTTCATTTTCAATCTTAGTCTATGAGAAAATAATGCCCCAAAATCCATGCATGCATGACTACTGCGATACAAGAAACATTTTCATGCAACCAGCCCTAGAGAGAAGTTGGAGAAGAGCAAATAGGCATTTTCACGTAGCTCGAAGTTATTAAAGATTTCCTCCAAGATGGCGCCTTGTGTAAAGATGCATAAATACTAATGTTATAAATCTTTTAAGGTATAAACTCATATTTTTTTTCTGTTTATTGTAACACACAGTGATATAATATATGGATCCATATAAGAGGCATAATTCAATACTACAAAGTTTGTTAATATATTGCCTGATGATGGCTTCATGAGCCGAAGCATGTTGTGACATTGTACGACCAATAAACTCAGTCACGCACAGTGAAATATGAGCGAGTTGTTTGGTATAATGCTGTGTTTGGTAAAAAAAAAGAACTCCGTTGCTTTTAGTCCGCAAGCAAACTATACCGACCGAGCGACCGCCGCTTGTCGGCGAAGTAAGTGCCAACTTTAGCGGATAGAGGGTGTCGTGTGGTCAGCGCAACGAATCCCCACGGCCGTTAATATCGGTTTTCCAGACCGGAGCCGCTAGCTCTTCAATTATCCTCACGAGGCTCAGTGGACCCCGTTCCAGAGCCAGTACTTCTCAGAAATTCTGGTAAAGCCGGGAATCGAAACCGGACCTCTGGATCTGTAGCCAGGAACTCTGACCAGTAGACCGCCAACAAAACTCATATACAGCAACGATTTTATTTTAGTAGTTCTTACAGCTTATTTTATACAACAGTTATGTGAAATACATCTAAAATCTTTCATTTCGAGAGTAGTTCAAATAATTATGTGTACTTGTAGGCTACAGAATATTGGCATATCAGAATTCACCAACATTTCTTGGCAAACGTGGCGAGTTGCGGTTACAGCAAATAAGCTAGGAGTTTCGCAATTATCTATGAAAACGAGATTCAAAGTTTGTGTCTTGTCTCACGTAGTTACCAGTTTGCAATGTATTTAACAATAATTCCGACGTTAGAAATCAAGAAATAAAAATCAGAGTACTGAACATCTCGCCGCTGCCAGACAGCTGAATTTACGTGGCCAGATTTATTCCACACGCCAGTTTTCTAATCCGCGTAAAACTGTTTCGCTCACTTAACGTCCATATTTAATTACGGGCAGTGAAATTTCTTAATGCAATTCTTCAAAATTGAGAGGGTTAAGTGTTCCTACTAATGGACATCTTTCATATCATACAGCACTGTCTTTCACAATATCCTCAACTTCCTGTCAACGTAAAGAACCTAAAGACGAACAAATTTTAAGTAGTTTAGATATTCTGGTAGATCGTGGAACTCGCTATATTCAACTTCTGCTCACTAGGAAGATCGCCAATGCCTTGAAGCTTTACATATATGCGACACGTTTCGCGATGCGAGAGTTACTCTGGAAATCGAGATGTATCGAACAATTCTTTACATTCTCGAAAAATTGCTTCCTAGACCTTTCGCTCTTCTACACTACAGAAACTAAGATTTTATGTAACATCGAATAATGGGCCGCGCCATAGTTCAAGCGGTTAGTCATTGGCTTCCCACCGCTGCGGCCCGGGTTCGATCCCGGGTTTGGTCAAGTGGGATTTGTGGTGGACAAAGCGGCGCTGGGACGGGTATTCTCCGAGTACTTCGGTTTACCCTTGCCACTCTTCATTCCACCAAATTCTCCATCATCATAATCACCCGGGGCAGGTACAATAGGCCAATCAGTGGTCGCCGTGACGAGTGGACCCAGTTGGACTCCACCCCCCACTAAGCGAACTAAAAAAAAACATCGAATAATACTAGTGGTATATGTTCCTTGACAATAATCAGAAGAGGTCAGGAGCTTCGCGAAAATTGAGACATTTTACATTTTGTTTTATATTTTTCGAACACGTATCGTTTTAATGTTCTAAAACTAAGAAGGAAATTTAGTGTCGCATTCAACAATGATGTAAATGTCTTTATTCAATGTAATTTTAATCATGAAAAGCTATAATTTGAAAGGAGATTGCAGCCTATTCTGTTTCATAAAATTTGCCACCAAGTTGCAATTCAGCTCTCGTTCGAGGCCAGATATCAAGACTGAGTACTCTTTTATGCCCTTGTATTTCGACAGTCCAGCTTCTCCAACTTCACTCTCAGTTCACAAGAAATCATCTTATCATATCCCACAAATTTTCTTCAGAATTACCGTATTTACGCATGTATAGGCCGCACATTTTTGCCAAAAATTCAAGAGGAAAACTGGGGTGCGGCTTATATTCGAAATATTCGAAATCACACTTAATTTAAAAAAAATTATATTCATAATTAGTAATACAGGGTGTTCTAATCCTGAAATAATATTCCAAGAAAATTATTTTTTCTATAATTTCTGTCTGAAAATTGTGCTGCGGCCTATACATGCGTAAATACGGTATTATGGCATTCTAATGTTAATGAAGAAAACAATTTTTCTACATTTTATCACCTGAAATGCAAATTCAAAAAACCACAAACAACTTACAGAAACAGGTAGCAAAACTAGAGCATTGAAAGGTATAAATATTTTGTTTCTGGGCATTATCTATGGTCCTGTTTTCATCTAAAACACCGACCTGTTTATATTTCAAACCACAGCGTTTCGGAGACTAGATTCTGTGTCCGTCTTCAGGTGAAACCTACTCAGTTGGGTCGAATAGATATAGTCCCAACTGAGTAGGTTTTACCTGAAGACGGATACAGAATCCAGTCTCCGAAACGTGTGTTAAAATATAAATACAGGACGATGGATAATGCCCAGAAACATAATACTCGTATTTGTACTAATGCACCATCATCAGAAACTTTTACATCTTGTTTACATTGGGAGGTAGTTTGTTACTCACGCCACCAAGTGCTTACGATCTGTTTAGTGCTAGCTAATTTAGGCCAGTATCTCTGTTTATATTTTCATTATAATCGGCTGATATATCACGGGCAGGTTCAGGAATATGTGAAGTTCAACAATTCTTTTCGCCAAAATCCTTTCGACATTATCACTGACATTGTAACGGACTATTCTTCGTGCAAAGAAATGTAAAAGCCATGCGTATGTTAGTTTGTGTGTAAATATTTAATTGTGTACACAGATTTTCGTTCAAATTCGAAGGGCCCTGTTCAGTCTGTGTGGTGTTATGTTAAATTTATTTTCATTTACAGACTAATCAAAACGCACTTGTCACGGTAGCCGAGCGGTCTAAGGCATGTAGTGTCTTCACTCACATGGAAGCCGAGATCGTGGGTTCGAATCCCACTCAGGGCACGGATGTTCAGTGTTTGTATGTGTGTGCGCTTTTTTCTGTATTTGTGCAGAGGCCCTGTGACGAGCTGATCACCCGTCCAAGAAGTCCTACCGAATGTCTAAGATTTAGTAAACCGAAATGAAACGGAGAGTTTCATGGAGGTAGGCCAAGGCCCAAATTGGGGCTGTAGCGCCAAAGAAAAAAAATATATATCAAAACCCGGTAGCAGACAAGGTAGATAACACCGACGGTAAAGCCAGCTGGAACTTCTCGATTTAGGCATAAAAAGGCTAGATACTGATGGCTTCAGATAGTCCGCAGCCACCTGCTCAAGGTTGTTCCTCGTTCACGGATTTTTCTACCTTGAAGATGGAGGCGATACGTTCCTTCGAAAAGTCGGTTCACACAAGATCAACACGGCGCCACATCCCAGAAGACGGCATTCTTCATAGTCACCGCCGTTGTGAAACATCAAAATCTTACAAATTGTAATTGTGGTCACGTCATCCTCACCGCATTGGTGCGTAAGTATGTACCGTCTGCTGAAAGACACGACATTTATTAAAACTGAGAGGCCAAGTGGACACGCTGCAGCGTTCTGTCTTGCCGAAACTGCGGCTAAGCAACCTGTCAACACTGAGCAAGATCGTAAGCACTTTGAGTACCGCACGAACTGCAAATGCAAGCAGGAATGATTTGGACGGGAAATACGCTGATGGGGACTTTCTAATTTGCAGCTCTCTACAGGTTCATCACTCTGTGAGCGGGACGCGAACTGTTGGCCACATGGTTGGAAATCCGCACAAATGTGGGTGTCAGTTTCCGATTATCTGTCCCTTTCACCTCCGTTCTCAATTCTTCCTATTTCTCTTTTTTATTCCTAGAGCTCTGGGGGACGTTGGGCGCTGTGTGAATACATATGTTCACAAAAAAATAAACTCCTTTTGTGCTTTTATTCTAGCAAATTGTTTATTCAGACTGTATCAGCGAGCACTGCATCAGTGGGCGTGCAGAGCGCTCGACCCCTCCACAGTGTCTAGGACAGTGATGTTCCAAGAAGCGCAGAGTTTGACGCCAAGCCGTGCCGGAGGACGGTTTCACGTGTGAAGCACCTTCAAGAGGAGGCAGAGGCTTATCTCCGGTCTCGAGTCCAGATTCAGAGGGGTTTAGGCGTGGATGGGAATGTATTGAGGAGAAGGAAGGGCTTAAATATTGTGTTCCACACGTGAAACCTAACCTCTCGCGTCCGTCACTGCAGTGACATCTGAAGCCGGCCAACTGACACCACATGTTTCTGTGCGGAACTCCAAGCAGGCCTGGCTGGACCCAATCGAAAGCAGCGAGACATCCAGTCTTGTCTCTCATATCTCAAATAACTAGCAGCTAATGCCCTTCAGTGTGATGGTGGATTCTATTGGCTGGATGGGAAAAGAAACACAGAGGTCGGATTTAAGGAGCAGGGAAACGTACCTTCAAACATAACAAGCTCTCCGCCTCCATCTTGTAGTGCTTATAGTCTGCCGGCTGGGCCCGTATATAGTTGGTACATGCGTCCGGAGCGAGTGGCCAGCGAGCTATCTCGCACTATAACTCCTTTGCCCAAAGATCTTCATCTGGTATTAGCAGGAAAGATATACTGAGCACTGCTTTCAAGTAGAACTGATATCTTGAAAGAGTTCCATTGTCGGACCTGTTTATTTAAGATTCATTTCCAAAAAGCCATTATGAAATGTCTTTTCTTGTAGGCATTTATTTCTAAATTAGAAGAATGTATCATGTGCACAGAACGCATTTTTGAGTTTGTTTTGTCAGATACATGTAAAACATATTTCTATATAAATTGCTGTTGTAACCTATACTTCAAAGACTTTCCAGTATCAGCACGAATATTACACTCATTAGCTCAGTTCTCCATTTTCAAATTTTATGTGAAGTCTCTCTTTTTTTTTTTTTACACATTTCTGTTAGAGGCTGAGTCGACCCCAGGGCCATAGTGAGACTGGAAGGATTGGGTCAATTGAAAAAAAATCCAATGACTTCATCGGGATTTGGACCCGCAACCTTCCGGCTTGTAGCATAGTGCCTCACCCAACTACGCGCGTGACCCCATATGCATACCTCTAGTTAATTTTATTAATAATTAGTTATCCAATCCATAGCACATCATGAGCAAAGTTTTCTACGCGAAATATTTTGTAATAGCTAATTTCGAAGAAATCACTTCATTGAAGTTGAAATGCAGCACTGCCTAATCCCAAATGCCATCGTCTGCCAATAAAATTCAAATGCATGCATATCTTAACAGAAGATATATTAGCATGGTACGGTGTTAATTATGGCCTCGGCTATGGAGACGTAGGAGGGGCTCCAATTGTGTAATCATCTCGAATAAAGTAAACAATCATGGAACGTGGTTGCCTTTCTGACGTGCGCAGTAACGCTCTCTTCATTTCACACACAGAGCTGAAAGAATATTAACTATTGTTTCCAATTCATAGGCCACTGTCTGTAGCTATTGTTGCATAGCAAATCCTCATTCGAACAGGAGTGTTCATTTATTAACATTCAATTTGTGAAAGCCTTCATCTGTAAATAGCATTTCTGAAAATCTTCTGCTACATCAATCATAAAGCTTTGGAACGTAAAATAGCATGAAGTACTTTGCGTCTGATGTATATCATCTTGAAATGTTGATAAGTAATTCATACAGCCCATCAAAACATGATATATTGATTGTGTACACGTTACAATGTCGTTTTCATGGTTTCCTTAACATGACGTTTGTAAAGAAAAATTCGTGAGATGCTGGAAATTTACCTGACGTTAAAGTATTCATACACCATTCCTATTTCGCTCACATGACACCATGATAACTTTTGTAGGATTACAGCCCCTAAGAACAGAGAAATATTTTCTTTCTTTGTATACAGTTCCAATTTCATGGCCAATGTTTGAATCCTGGATTTGATTTTTATGTATAATTCCGCTGTATGATTTGAGGTATCGTTTCTATGCTCACAATTGTAAATTTTATATAATGATATCCAATGTACACATTTCTTTCTCTACTGTGATTCGAGGGCTTCAAGATTATAAAATAATTTTTGAAATGATTTTTATACCTTGGTATGTCATTGTAAGAAACATTATTGCATCTTCTTTTACACTGAGAGTTTAAGAAAAAATAGCTTTATCCTATGTAACCGATTTGTAAACATGACTGCCAGTATGTTCATTCATAAATGCATGTAGATCAAAACATGAGGCCTTGAGGGGAAACTTACACTGAAAGTTAGTTCAAATTATAGAAGTTGTGGTACCCCAGCTTCGAATTTTCGTTTCATTTAGTGGTTTTGTTGATTTGATAACTAAATTCTTTTCTTTCACTTTTGATGGCTAGAAATATCAGTAAGAAATACGTAATAATATCCTTCTGGTGGTCATCGATTTCAGCAGAAAGATACTGCGTTATCTTCATGAATCCGAAACACTTTTCTCTAATTCAAACCACTATCGTTGGACGTGACCAGTTCAGTTACACAAGCAGCAGTATTTTTACTCCTAATAACATTATTATGTAGCTTTGCGTGTGCAGAAGGAGGTCCCGTGACTTGGGTCTTCAAGATACAGATATAAACCTAATGCAGTCAACAAACGTTTACACATCAATTTGTCGTATTTACGGTAACAAAGTCTGAGATATTCTCATGTCAAATTGCTCCTGCTGTTCTTGTTCAAACAGATCCCCTAGCGTATGGCCAGAGTTCTTTTAAATATTTAACTTAAAAGATTAGACGAGATAACCGCCATTTCCGCATTTTTATTTCATGCTTTTCGTTGACATCTTTATGGAGACTAGAGTACATTGACAGAACTCCCTGGTCCCTATATCTCAGGGCATGTCAAGAGGGACTGATGGAGGGGCCATAGTGCCTGTGCTCATGGGTTTCAAACGTCAACAAATATACCGCCCATCATCCCAACCAGAGCTGGCGAAACTGGGCTGTTGCAGCTGCTGCCGTGTCGGCCTTAGGCCTACCTGCGCCTTGTGCTTGCGCTTGAGCTTGAACCTGAGCCTGAACTTGAGCCTGCGCCTGCGCCAGAACCATGGGCTGCATTCCAATACCCTGTTGTAGGAGATACTGCCTCTGCGTGATCTGTAACTGTTGCATCAGCTGTTGTTGCTGCAACGCTAACTGCTGCAACGGGGCTGCCGCTTTCTTCTTGTCCCCCGTCTGAAGAAGATGCGTTTGCTGGATAAGATTCAGTTGCAGCTGTTCCTGCAGCTGTTGCATGGCTTGCTCCAACTGTTTCCTTCCCAGTTCTGCCAACTGTTGCTGCTGCTGCAACAGAGAGTGTCAATCCTCAAATCATGACTTGTTTCCAGCATATTTCGATTTTTTGAAACAGAAACATCAATTTAGAATCGATCCCTTCTTTAAATAAACATAACAAGTTTGCTATATAACACCTAATCCACCGCGGAAACTATAATATGGAGGAGTGATGAAATGTAATATGAAGATTTGTCAATATGAAAACACAAGGTGAAAAAAAAATACAGCTATCCCCTGTAACAGGCCGTGAAGGCCCAAAGAGTTGTGAGACGTCGAGGCTCCCACATTCTCCAGACAATCGGCTCACAGATGGCGGTAGGGTTGTCAGCCTTACGCGCCGGCCGCCCTTTACCACCCACGAAGATTCCTGGTACTCATTTCTGTTAGAGGCTGCTCGAAGCCCGGGCCATAGTGTGGCTGGAAGGATTAGGTCAATTAAAAAAAAAGTGCATATCACTGGGACTCGAACCCGCTAACTTTCGGCTTCTAGCATAGTGCCTGAACCAACTACCTGCAGATGCTTTAGGTACTCTGTCCTGTAAACCAAGCAATTTTAGGCAAAGGGTTAGGAAAGTGATAAATGAGGCGAAGTGAAGTTGGGGTGGAAATAATTAAAAAGAAAAAAAAATTGCAGTGAGGTGAAGTTAAGTGAGGTGAAGTGAAGTGAAGTAAAGTAAATGACATTACGCATCCATGACTGTTGGTTTCCTTTTGTTTGTGTTTTGGGTGTTGTTAGTTTGGTAATTGTTGTTGTATTTGTTGCAGTTGTTTGTATTTCTTTGTAATTATTGTAGTTGTTAATCGTATTTGGTTTGTATTCACTGTGGTAGGATGTCCTTATTGTTGTGTTTTGTGTATTGTGTTTTGTTTGAACGTGTTGTCACTCAGTGTAATGTGTTACTTGTCTGTTGTGTCCTA